AGAAATATACAATGTTCCTATCAGGATAACTCTATGCCATTTTCCTCCATCTTGTTCTGAGAGGAAAAAAATACAACTGAGGTGAGCATTTTATTTCATTTTGTTGTTCACAGTGTTATCGTCTCATCTGGTGAAATAGATTAAAGTTCCATCTGACTGCCTCAGTGGATAAGAATAAGAAGTTTGCCTGCTATTAGGAAGTCTGCCCTTTTGACTCCTTCCCTGAAAAATATAAGGTATATTATTGTGTCTTCATTTTATATTGGTTACATGTTGAAGAAACAATATTTTGAATTGAGCTAAATGAAATGTTATTGTATATTTCATTATTTCTTTGTACTTTTTGAAACATGGCTACCAGAAAACTTAAAATTATGTAAGTGGTTCATGCTATATTGCCATTGGACAGCACTGGTATAGAAGTTACTGGCTAATGTGTAATTTTACAGAGAACACTGGACACCTACTGGGCTAATCTCTAGTCCTTGTGCATTACACATTTCCAGGCTAGGTCAGCCAATAAAATGGTGAAAAATAACAAAATAAAAAGCTCACTGGTGGCCATTACTTACTAAAAAATCATCAGTGAGCTTTTTCTTTTACTATTTTTCACATTTCATTTAGCCCAATATATCCAAAATATTGTCACTTCAACATGTAATAAATATAAAAATTATTAGTGAGATATTTTACATGCTTTTTTTTTTCTGCCTTTGAAGTCTAGTATAAATTTTACACTTAGGGTATATCTCAATTTAGACTAGCTGCATTTCAAGTGCTCACACATATTGCTCATGGCTACCACATTGGACAGCGCAACTCTATGATTGTTTTGGGGTTATTTGGTGATGTGGAAACTTGATAAAAATTTGGTACTTTCTATGAAAATATTACATTACCTTTATTATTTATTACTTTGTGATTTAAATAAAATAAATAGGCAGAAAGTTTAAATGACTGAAACGCATATTAGGTTTTTTAAAAAGTTTATGTTATAAAACATATATCACATGGGCAATAAATAAATAAGTAAAAAGCAAGAATAGGGT